CATGTTTGTGCTAATAAAAGAACTAAACAAGAATCTACAACTAAAAATAGGACATCGTACTACGTCGAAGCGCAGTAATTCCGGAGGGTCAATTTAGACCTTTACAAACTCCTATGCTTAATTTATGCATACCACGCATAAATATCTTAAGACTCGTCAAGGTTATTCGGGATACGCTTTGACATTACACTGAGGCTGCTTCGAGACTTATTCAGGTAAGTAATGCAGATGTTTCCTTTCTTCTTTCTATCTATGTTTGGCGGCTACACTTTAATATCTAACCAGGGCTTCGTAGAGACTTATCTGGTTTTTGATATGGACTTATCCTTACTTCTTTCCATCTGAATTCGTTTTTAATTGTCTTCCTTTCTTGACAATTTCTTTATCTTGAACTTCTCTTTAATCCTTGTGCAGTATTTACTAATCCTGTGTCTTACAGGTACTTTGTTCAAATTTTTTTAATTGCGGCCTAAGAATCTTGAGAATCTTCATTATAGATTTTTGGAGAGTGGATAAAATGTCAGGACACCGGAACCTGGACTAGATTCTGTTCCTTCAGATTTGGAGGTATCGAATTGTATCCTTTGATAGTAGATGAGTGGATTTCCTTCTATTGTTATGAAAAAATTTTTTTTTTTTTTTTTTTTTTTTTTTTATAAAATTTCTTGTGGCTTTTAATCCTCAGCACCACTTATTTAGGGTTTCGGAATCTTATCAGGATCTTTATTTGTCTCTCGTTTAGGTAAGTATCTTCTTTTGTTGGTATCTATACTCGGTTGGTTTCTAACATTGACTAATCTTTCTATCACTTTTAGATACCCTTCAGATAGATTATTTGCAACTATCTTGTTTGAAAGTGACTCCTTTATACCTGGACTATGTGAGTATAATATTTCATTGTTTTCTTCATGATTTAACTATCTGATTATCCACAGGAAGACAAGTATAATACAGAGACCTAATGTAGTCATCTTTTTGCATTTCTTTTCTATTTTAGATTGACCATGATCTTTTGACATATCTATCCGGTGTAGGACTTTTTTGGCATTGAGGTCTCATGTGTTCGGTTCTTCTAAGACTAGAGTATTATCTGTGGTGATTACGTAATTGTGAGTTGTAGTAGTACTGGATTTTTCCAATAGAGATATATCCTTTTTCTGATATTTTAATTTTTCTTTATTATATTCTCTTTTCTGCTCTGGTTTGTTAACTTTTTCTTTTTTCTTTTTCTTCCTCTTAGGATCTTCTATGATTTCGGCATTGGAAAATTCCTCCTATTGAATTTTCAGTAGACAATTCTCATCTTCGTTATAGCTTTTCTGAACTAGCTTTGATACCTGAATTGAGGGCTTTTCAAGAAGATACCCTTGGTCTGTTGGACCCATTCGGATGTAAGGCAGGAGGTATATTATTTGTTCTTCTTCTCCACTTTGATTTTCTAGTATTTTATATATATTAATTTGTCTTTCTTTGTTAGGTCAGTTTAGATTTCTTCTTCAGTTGGGCTTTATGGTACTATGATCTGGTCCTCAGGGCCTGTTTTGATGAAATCAGACTAATTCTTTCTCTTGTGCTACTAGTTAGCTAGACAATGCTATGAGTTGTCTATTTAACTCCCATATTTTTTTCATTTGATCAGTTTTAGTTTTTTGTGTTGAGGTCCAATATTTTTGTTGTAGTAGATTTTTTTTATCTATGCTAATATTTGCTTCTATATTATAGAGCTCAAAGCTTTCATTATTGATAACATTCTTTATTATATTCAGTAAAATCTCTAGAGCCAAAGGAATTTGTGTATCATCAAAATTGTTCTCTCCAAAGGCTATGTTAATTATATCTTGGACTTTTAGGGCCTGTTCTTCAGTAAGTATCACAGATAACATAGCATATTCATTTTCTAACCTTACTATTTTTTGATCCATATTTTTAGATAGTTAATTTTTTGTTTAGCGTTGCGAATCTCATAGTCACCACCAATTAAGAAGGTGTGAACTGGTTCTGGAACAAAACTCGACTGGAGGCTAGGTCACACCAAGATTCATAGATTAACAAATCTACAAACAAACACTACAAATCCAACAATCAACCCTACGTTGGAAGGCTAAAAGAGGGCATGGAGGATTTGGTCCAGGTTGTAAGGTTGCAAAAAGGATTTTCTTAAGCAAGTGTTGTTTGGTTCTTGGGCTTGTATTATAGTTCTTTCATAGTAGTTATCCTTTGGCTTATATTGATATTTTGAGTCATGTGGCATGTGATCTGATCTTCTTTTACGATTGGTTATTAATTTTAACAATAGAGATCTATAAGACTAACTAAGGGGTGATTGATTATTGTTTAAATTGATCGGAATTTGATCATCGAGGGAAAGAGGATAATTGAGGATAGCGAATGTGATATCTGGGAGTTATTTTTAGGGTTTTCGAATTGTCTCAAACTTGAGATGATTTATTGAAGAGGAAAAAGCCATTACTTATATACTTTTACAAATGTTCAAAATATCGAATATATTGGATATATTCAATATATCGAATATATTTGATATATCGGATATATTCAATATTTCAAATTTCTGTATCATCATACTAACTAATTATGGACTAATCTACAGTAAGTTTTCTAATTATATATGTTTGTGCTAATAAAAGAACTAAACAAGAATCTACAACTAAAAATAGGATATTGTACTACATCGAAGCACAGTAATTCTGAAGGATCAATTTAGACCTTTATAATATACTAATTACTATTTGGATATTTTTTATGAAAATCCGAATTTACTGCAGGTAATAACAACTTTCAGTATACTTTTCTCTTGAACTAACATAATAATTCCTAGTTTAATTTGTTATAAACAATATTTTAATTTGCCTAGAATAGTATAATGGAGGCATTTTTTCGGTTTATTTCTTTTATGAGTAGCAATTCTTAGACAAAGTAAATAAGCTTTATTCAAAATATAACAACAATAAGTTCAATAAAATTTAAAAAAACCAAGCCTATTAATAAAAAAAGAGAAGCGAGAGCTACAAAATAAAAAAAAATTCGATATAAAAATTTTATATAGTTAACTAGAAAATCGTACCTTCATCAATCATATTAAAAAAATATTACTATTTTGGTCAAAAACATTGCATAAACTAAAAAAACATATAAAAAAGGCACGTCAATTATCAATACAAGCAACGATAATCGTAATGATAGTTATAACAATAATGAGAATAATAATAGCAATAGTGATAACGATAATAATAATAATGATAGCTATAATATATTGAAACCAAAAAAAGCCAAATTATGTCTTTCGGATATTAAACAAATATCTCTATCTGATGAAGATTTGGCAGTTCAAAGAAAAAATAAGATAAAAAAAATTTTTGATGAACATGATAATGAAAAACAGATAATGTTTGGAGAAATTGAAGCTAATAAACTGTTTAATAGTTTATTTGATAAATAATTTATTCGATAAATAAAGTCAATAATTTGTAAAAAGTGAGTTTTCTGAAATTTCAGAAATTGTTAAAAAACCTATAAAAAATCTTTACATAGTAAATTTTATAGATTTGATTAGTTTGATAATCATCCTAACGTGACCAGTTGCATTGAAGATCTTGACACCTTCGGTATTAGGGTATTGAGAATAATCACTATGTATTATACTTCACTTGACTACCTAGTAGAGCCTTAGTTAAAGAAACTATAAAAATAGATATATATGTATTTTATTAGAAGAATAAACTTTGTATTAGCTTTGGAATAGATCTAAAGCTTAGTATTAGTTTTTCCTATTGCTATGTATAACAATAAGTATTGTGATAATACCAAGTACAGAATAACTATAGAACCACTATGGGTATCCTACCTGAACAACTACAGATATCTTTTATATTATAGCATAATAGATATATAATACGTAACTACGGGATAACTATGTGATTTTTCTCATTAACAGTATAATAATAAGGCTATACAAATTTAAACTATTAATTTTAAATTATAATATAATTAGTGGCACTGAGTCATAAAAATTTTTTTTATTAGAGGGGAGATTACTAATTAATTTTTCAGAGCTAGCATTACGATCTCTGGTCCTGAGGATAAAAGTTTATCTGGCATTACAATTAGAGGGGAGAAAATTTTTAGGCCAGATGATCAATTTTTGGCTTACGTTAAAGGATTCTTTCCTCTTTGGTATACCCGAAATAATGAAGACAAGTTACTAGTGTTTCATATGGACTGAATCAGATGAATATTTATAAAAATCTGAACCTGATTTAGAAAAATAAATCAGATCTAAGGTAGAGTTTGAAACCATATAACATAGGCTTAAGTCAATTCTAAATCTGCTTGATTTTTTTTTTTTTTTTTTTTTTTTTACTTTATACAAATGCTATCAGCCAAAACTTTTATTAATATTGATAGTAAGTAAATGTTATATATTGTGAGAGTACAACTAGCTACATGTATAATTTTAGATTATCTAATTTAAGTAGTCCGCCCGAAGGTTCTACACTAGTTGCTATATCTGAAATCTATTTGAAAATTATCTATTTAAACTCTCTGGCCCTATCACACTTACTCGTATTCTATATTTTTTTACCAAGGTTCACCTAACCCTGTGCTACTTCTTCTGAAAGACACCTGAGCTGATATTAGTTCATAAACTTTATAGTTCAGAGTCTAGACTCTATCACAAAGTGTCCCTTCACCAACTCCCTAACTGATGAGTGCTATAGTATCTAACTATGCTATGCTATATCCTAATCTAGCTTGCATAAACCCTTGTTCAATGTTCGTACAAACTCAGTTCCTACTATAGCCTTCTACCAAGTTAGTCATCTGTACCTCCAGATATCATATGAAGTAGATCTTCTCAAATCTGTTACTTGGTGTTGCCTGCTTTGCCACTGGATATCATACAAGACAGATCCTCCCAAATTCAGTTAGCTGCTAAGCCAAGTTAGTGTTGCTATACGACCTCGTATAATAGACTTACTCGCATCTGTTTTGTCAATTTTTTTGTACTCAGGACTTACTTGTATCTATTTCGCCAATTTTTTTGTATGCAAATTTCCTTTCCTAGATCAGACGTTAACTAGATAACTATTAAAATCTGTACTACTTTACCTAATTCAGAATTTCTACTATGCAGGTCCTCTGCTTATAGATTCTATTAAGATTTATTTGTGTAATATTATGTCTTGCTGAATGCACTATCATACTTCCAATACCCAATTGGTATTAGTGCAACATGATTTACAGAGTTATAATTCCAGAAACAGGCAGAGTTTTACCATAAGTTGGATACAGATATTTAGATAATTATTTAATTCTGTATACAGTGAGATTTAAACTCTAGACCTCTTGCATAGCAGTCTAGCAACCTAACTACTAACTAAGATCACTAGACCTATCTGCTCGATTTTAAAATGATTCTTTTTTAAAAACAAGAAATTATTAGTATAATATGTATATAATTTACATATGCACTATATAATAGATAATTGACGTACTAATCATTTTACATATGTATTAGAAAATTTATAATATATCAGATATTAATATTACTATATAAATTTTAGTAGATCTATTAGTATGCTAAGGGGAGAGACAGAAATCAGCTGATTTCTTAGAGGGGTAGAGGGTTAGAAGTTCAGTCAGATCAAATATTATATTAATTATAGAATATACTATAATATATAGTCAGGTAGGAGGTGGAAGGAGGAGCTCTATAGTAAATTAAAATTATCTGATTTCTGTCTTTCCCCTAATTATATTGTACTATACTAGGTAAATTATATAGCATCTTACATCCTAATAGTTATTAGCAAAATAGCAAAAGTATTAGTTTTCAAGTTTAACAAACTTGAAAACCTGAAATATGTTTTTTCTTAGTAGTATCAGAATAAAAGTTTAATATAGTAAATAAATTAATATGATTAAATTTTACTAGTATGAAATTTTTAAAAATTTTACTGTTAAATATATTATCTAGATTATATAAAAAATGATCTATAGAAAAGATTCAGAACTCTTACTGTAGATCATCTATACTAAAACTCCCAAAAAACATTTTGTTATAACTAATTATTTTATTAAGCAAACAACCTTTAGGCTACTAAGCAAAATTGTTCTACACAAAATTTTGCTCTAGGATAGCCTAGT